TCAAACGAGTTAACTTCATTATTTCATTAAATTGTTGTCTGTAATTCTGCATATTTTTGTGCCTCGTGTGTGTGTGTGTGTCTTCCTTGTTAGGCGGCTGCCGGACCTGCCCAAGCCTGCCAAACAGGCTTCTCCGCTAGTCCGGCTGGTCGAGGTGCCTTGCCGAACGGGCCCAACAACCGAGGCTGTTTCGAGGCGGCCACCAATTCCCAGATGCCCGTCTCTGGCCACCTCCACCATCCGAGCCAGCCGAGGACGAGCCATTTCACCGGATCACAGTCACACTTGCCGCCACAGTCACTGTTGCCGCAGTTTCACACCTGCCAGCCGACCCGGTTGAACGGAGACTCGTCGGCCGGTGTTGTCGTCACGACCAGCTCGACTGGCCCATCGGCCGGAGCACTCTTCTCGCCGCCGTCCCGCTCCGTCTCCGGCTCTCATCTGCCCCTCAACCCGGCCACCTTCGCCGACCACCTCGTCTCCACCCCCGGCCGCAACACCAGCGCCCCGGCCACCCTGGCCACCAACACTGCCTCCGTGCCCACCACCCTCTGCCCCGAACCGACCAGCAACCAGCCGCACCGAGCCCACACGATGCAACCAGCACAACAGCACCAACATCAGCACCAACACCAGCATCATCAACATCAACAACAACAACAACAACAACAACACACCGTTCCGGTTCTGTCGACTTCGGGAGCCGCCTCTTTGGCCAGAACCGCGTCCGGTCCGTCACGCTCCACTGCACCCCGCCTCAGTCCGGACCATCAGCTGGAGCCGCTACCACCGCCGCCGCCGCCGGCGTCGTCGTCATCGTCATCAGCCCATGGACACACAAGTCCGGCGGGTACCATGACGACGGGACAAGAGTCTGGCGCCGGATTGGCTGTGTTGCCGGCACCGGTGGGTGTCGGCTCGTCGGCCACGCCTGCGGACACGTTCGAGGCGTCCTGTGCCAATTCGGGTCTGTTTGTGGAGGGTCAGTTCGTGGCGTTGTACAACTACGCGGCTCGTGTCGACGACGACCTCAGCATGAGCAAGGGCCAAATCTTCTACATCCTCGACAGGTCGCAGGGCTACTGGTGGTATGCCCATTGCGTCTCGACCGGGCAGATGGGCTACGTGCCCTTCAATTATCTGGCTCCGGTCACCAGTCTTGAGTCGAACGAGTGAGGCTCATCCCTTTTTCCATTGGCTGCGTTGTTGGCATGTTTGGTCTCGGTTGACCTCGTGTTTGCTTGTTGCACGGTCCGCGGCGACACGCTTGACCGGACGAGGTCACTGCACCGGTCCGATTCGGTACCAAAGCACAGAGGGCCAAGTGGTACAGGCGAGTTGGCGCCAGCGGCAACTTGTCATTTCGAGGCGTGAGTCGGCTTGAAAGAATTGGCGGATTTGCCTCATCGGAAGTCAAACAAGGATTGACTATCGCGTAGTGAAGATGCACCGTTCTGCCGCCTCGAACGACCCGTGATGACCTTTTGTCCGTTCTGCAGTGATGGAACTCGTCGCAGGGGAAAAGAGTACTTTACGATGAACCGCACTTGAGATGCAAACCTACCCACATTTTGCATCAAGTCTTGCGATTTTAATCAGACATCTTATCATTTGTTATGAGTCCACTTTTCGTTTCGAAGTCAAGGCTGGCTGGAAGGGATTCATGAGTTGGTGTCACCGGAAACTGAGGGAGAATGCTTGCTTTGGTGGAGGGAAGACTGTTGAATTGGGACGAGATGTCCTCCACGTCTCCGATGACCTCGTGCTGGGCCGCGACCGATATCATGTCATAATTGTGTCGTCGTGCCATCTTTCTAAGAGGAAAAGAGTGTTCAAAGAAAGCCTCAAATTTTCTTTTGTTCTGCCATCTTTTAGTGAGAAATATGGCCCATCATCGGAATCCGGCTGGTACAAGATTGTGCGCTTCTGTGGTCGACCATGTGTTGGCGAAACAGCCTGGAATATTCGAAAAATAAAGTATAGTAGTCTATTGA